TTTTTTTTTTTTCAAATTTAGACCTAGGTACAGAAACGAATTGGTGATGCATTATATTTTCCAAAACAATTCATTTTGCACATGATTTCTACAGTGTAGAGACCAGCCACCGAAGGATACGTTAAGAATAAGTGTGCCTTCTATGAAATATAAATATAGAGACAAGACCGATACAACGTAGATAAGTAAATTATAAGACGGTGCTCCGTCTTAAAATTTACTTATCTACGTCGTACCGATCTTGCCTCTATATTTATATTTCATATTCGTTATTTTGGGCCGATCAGATCATCGCTGATCCAACGTACAAGAGTAGGAGTATCGTCCACGGTTGTCTGCTGAACATTCACAGCTTCTGTGAAAGACTGGAGGCAGTTCAGCTCAAAATCCTGTTCGGAAGTTTTTATAAAATCTCACTCTAGAAAAGTAATGTGTGCACCTTGCGTTTCAGTAAAACCATTTTACTCGTTCTTAGACAAAATGCGATGTGAATTCGCAGATAACTATTTCCTCGTTTGATTTGGTTGCTTTGCTATTACCTATAAATAAACCGATGAATATAATACTTCTTAATGCAATAGATTGTGCTCCATACTATCAGTCTCCTTTATTGTATTTATTTTCAGTGTTTGAAAGTTTTAGTTGATTAAAGTGGCACTTCGAAACAAAAAATTAAGCTGGAATGAACGAGAGATAAACGCAAACGGTAATGTTGACAATGTGGTAAGCTATCAGTTTTGGTGCACTTTATACATTAAATTTCCTAAAACAAGCTGCAATATTTTTAATATTGCAGCCTGGACAAAGCAATATTTTAATACTGCAGCATGCTTATTTAGTGCGTTTAATTATGTTAACCCTGATAATTTCCCTGCTAACAAATAGGACCGCCTCCGTTGTCCTCATACAGTTGTTTTGTCGTCTTAAAGACTACAATTGTTGATTTAATGCAGAGAGAGAACAATAGAATTTCATGGGGATCAGTAATTATTAAAAATGAACACCTTTCCGTACACCACATTACACCTTACTGATTCTGATGACCGCACCATGACCACACTATGCCTTACTTATCAAAATATTGTGATAATAACCGATGTTCATTGCGGCAATGCTTGCTATTGACTACAGAAATCAAGTAACTAGTCGTGACATTTAAGAATGTACTTTGAATGTCCAGCGCAAAAGGGTAAGCAATGACTCTACCAAAGCATTTAAATACGTTAGTCCACTAGAAACAAAGGCTGCTGAGGTCTTCTTGCGGTTATAAATCGATTCCCTCACGCATAGACAATAAACAAAGCTTTATTTTATACATATTTACCACTTAGGAGAGATCTCAAGATCTTGCTGCCACTTAGTAAATGTAATTACCATGATCACGTTTTGAAAATAAAGAGAGATCTCAAATCTTTTTGCGTCACTGAGCTGATTAATTACAGGGAAACCAATAAAACAAAACTTAGAGCTTGATTTATTAATAATCAAACTGAAAAAGACGAAATTAATTTTCAATTATCAGCAAAGAGAAAATGGTTGAATGACTTGGACAGTGTAGCTAAACAAAGGCAAGGATGCCGTTTTTAAATGTCTTTAAACTTTTGACTATTTCACTTTTCAGGAAAGGTTCTGATAAACCTGTGAGTGTCACAAATCTCCTGACACACCCATCACACATTGAGCGGCCTCACATCCATTTTCTTTCTTTACTTTTTTTTTGGGGAAGGAGAGGGGAGGGTAGATTAATTGGGTTGTTTGTAATCACAACAATACCTGAGACGAGAACATCTTTCACCCTTACACTTTAAAATTTTAAAATTTATGGCACATAGTTTTTCCCCCTGATATCGGCTAAAAATTAAAGTGCTCACAGAGAGACCGCCTTAAGACACAAAATTCAACGTTGATAACATGGAAAAGATATCATAAGTTGCATATAACGTAGCTCTCGTGTACGTTTACATTCCTCAGTGATAAAGAGTCAGTATTAATATCTGACAGATTTAAACATTCAGTTCAAGTTTAACACCAAAGGTGCAACTCACTTGAAGTTCCATGACGTCAAAGTTGGTTCATAGCCTTGCTCCAATGGTTTCTTACATGGGTTGTCCGGCTTGCCTTTTCTGAAGAAGGAAATAAATCCATAGAAATTTATACATCATATTTAGCTCCAAACCAATGCTGCGTTGTAGAAGTATCTGATGACGAGCAACGATGATTTGGATTCCTTTGTATATCAAGATACTGTCCGAAATTTTTTTCTCCCTTGATTGCACCTGGTTTTCCATCAAATGCACATCCTTCTTCTTTGCTTTTGTAACTCTTTATGTGCCAATGTACATTTACGTTCTGTTTTGTCAGGGCGGTACAATTAGAACAATTGTTTCCTCGGATGTTAACATATTCATACATCTGACATCTGTTCCAGTTACCAAAAATGTCGTGATCTGTCAGCTTTGCACGTGCGTAGTCTACATAATGCAGACCATCTGTAGGAAAGTTACAAGTTGCTCTCAGATGTGTAGAATGATCAGCAAGAGACTGCATTTGTAATAAGGATAGTCGGTACCTGTTCCAATTCCCTTTCCCCTTTTCAATAACAAACTCAAAGTTTTTGTTGAACCCTTTATCCATGAAGGTCTTTCTTTCAGCCAAGGAAAACGATTCTATCATTGTCCATACAAAGCCTGGTTCAGACTTCAAGTCACAGTAGACAGAAAAGGGTTCATTGTTTGAATCAAAGATCTCGTACTTTCCTGAAGTCGAAGCACCGTATTTTGCGATGTCCTTACAACTATTCGGTTTAATCTTTTCACATCGCTGACCAGTATATTTGTTAGGACAGCCACAGGAAAACCGGACGCTGTGAGTGACACAAATCTCCTGACATACTCCTCCGTTGAGACAAGGATTGGGGCTGCAGCATCTGTTGATGCACGC